TAGTTACCTGATAACATTTTTCCCCTCGATCTCGGACATATATTATATTATTCAAGGGCTGCAAAGAGGTTTCAGTGGATAAGAGCATTTGCTGGCCAGGCATGCTGGCACACACCTTTAATCCCAAAACTTGGAAGGTAAAGGAAGGAGAATCTCTATGAGAGCATCCTGGTCCACATATTGAACTCCAGGACAGCAAGGACTACGTAAAGAGACCCTGTCTCAAAAAAAAAAAAAAAAAAAAAAAAAAAAAAAAAAACCAACACTGGTTATTCTTCCAACTCTGCCAGAGGAGCTGTGTTCAGTTCCCAGCACCCACAGCTCACAACCATTTCCAGGGAATCTGATAACCTGTCCTGGCCTCTGCAGGCACCAGTACCAGTCATGGACATGCATGCAAAATTTTCCATACACATAAAACTATTTTAAAAATCTGTTACTCAGCATCTTCCTAGCCACATTAGCTTTAGTAAACATACACATTTCTACATTATTTCACTGTTCGTGAGTCTCTATTTCTCTCTGCATATTCTGTAGGCCACAATAGTACACGAGAGCTAAAGTGAACCTACAGTGCCTCCCAAAACTGTTTCGAATTCCACCCAGAGGAAGCTGGTTAAGCAAAAACTTGCAAGAATATTATATGTGCCATGTGATCAAACACCTTGAGATCTGTTCTGGCATGTCCAATGAGATCATATAAGTCCACAGGAAACAGAGGGAGAGAGTGGCCTCTTTTAGACACCCACACAAAGCAGTGAATACCAGCTGACCTCAGAAAATATCACTATTGCTCTTAAAAAGCAATACACCCTGAAGGTAATTTTCAGTGCAACATAATACAGTAGCAAGGATTCAGTCAAATTTGGGACTGGAGAGATGGCTTGGCAGTTAAGAGCACTTATTGCTCTTGTAAAGGACCTGGATTCTGTTTCCAGCATCCCATGATACCTCACAACCGTCTCTAACCAGTGTCCAGATCCAGGCACCAGGCATGCACATGTTACACATACATACATGTAGGCAGAACACTCATATACATAAAATAAATCTAAAAATATATACAGACAGAGTTACATCAAACTTGACTATAACTACAAACTAGAGAAATACACCATTCAATGAGGGGAGAGGAATGTCCACCATTTAAGTGAGGCTCAAAATCCTTTGCATGGGCCTTCTGCAATGAGAGAACTAATATCCCTAGTAGCCCTGATGACAGCCATTCTCCCTTTCAATCTCTTTTATAAAGAATTTCATCAGAAATGTAAAAGATCTTGGGATTCAGCCAGGCAGTGGTGGCACACGCCCGAGAGACAGAGCAGGCAGATATCTGTGAGTTCGAGGCCAGCCTCGTCTACAGAGCGAGTTCCAGGACAGGCTCCAAAGCTACACAGAGACGCCCTGCCTCGAAAAAACAAAAAGCAAACAACAACAAATAAAAATCTCAGGATTCAGGAAAGACAGACCTAAATGTTTTTACTCACAGCCAGTTTTATTAGAATGAGAAATTTCAAAGTTTTCTACGTTCTACTATTGTGGTAAGATAAACTACTCCAGACAGCTTCGGAAATACTGAGTGGCCCACGAATGGGAAGCTGCTAGCATTGCTGCTGATTCAGGAGATGCCTGAGTGGGAGGTTTCACCCAAGATCAACCCGGAACTCCACAGAGTGGCTGCTGGTTAGGCACAGGCAGGGTCACAACAAAGTGTGACTAACACACATAAAAAGCATCATCAGCCTCCCTTTGGTAAGCAAAATTTGCATCCATGTACTCCAGCCTCCAGCACTTCCTGCTCAGAGGATTGGCCCTTCCGGTGGAACTGAAAGCAAAATCGACCAATCACCTACCTGTAGCAGATGTCTATATTCCCTTTACACCCACCTCCCAAGCAGCTTTTGCTCAGGGCTCCTTCCCATGAGAAGATCTGAGACCTGGACAGGATCCTTGGCTTCTCTCTCAATCAGCAAAACATGCCACCTCTCCATTCAAATGTCACCCGAACTCTACCCTCTCTAAGCAGTCACTGGCGTCAGTGTCCATCCTCTCACTTGAACTCTCTAATTCAGTCCGTTTTCATGCCAGCTCTGAGCGGATCACTTTCCTTCAGACATGAAACCTATCACTCTTTGCTTTAAACCAACTGAGGAGAATAAGTAACGTCTAATTTATTTCGTATGGCCAAGGAGGATGACAATCCTTGCCAGCTAATTGAATATATCAAAATAGCTTTCAGAGGTGAATGTTTCAAACACAGAGACATGGTAAGTCTGAGATAATAGATATGCCAGTTACCCTAATCGGGCTAGAGCACATTGAATGCATGTATTGAAATGACACTCTGTAACCCCTAAATATGTACAATTACTAGTCAATTTAAAATAAGTTCAAAATGTTTCAATCATCCAGTGAATTTTCAATGCCCTTGGAATAAAATCTAAACTCTATAAGATATCCTAGAAAACCGTGCCTCACCAGCTGCGGGCGGACTTCTTTAACACTATCTCCTATCATAATCTGTTTCCCAGCCACCCTGACAAGAACAACCTCTGACTACCCAAATCATAGTAGCCACCCTCTATTGCCATCTCCCTGTCATGCCACAAGTTTAAGTGTTTTCTTTCTTTGTGGCACCTGTCACTGTCTGAAGTTCTTTTGCATCCACTGGTTTATTTTGTGACTATCAGTTTCCCTCACTATGATGGATACTGTAATAAGGACCCTATCTGAATGTGCGTTGATGTATACTTACTGCCAGACATATCATAGGTCATGTTTAATGAATTAGTAAATGAAAGAATACACATAATCTACAATTATATGAAGTTTAGAATCAAAGATAAAGTTCAAGGGTGGAGCACATGTAAAGCTCTCTGTTCAATTCCTTGGTATGGATATATGTAAACATACACACATATATGTGTACATATATATTATATATAGCTCATTGCATGAGCTAGTAATGTTAGATAAGCCATTATTCATTAGCTATGCAACTTTGCACCCAATAAAACAATATCTTTATTCTTTTTATAATTGGCAAAATGAGCATAGAGATAATCCTGATCTTATAGTATACAGAAAGAAAATGTGTATTAGTTATACTATGTCTGGGATACTGCATATTTGAAAAAAGTGTTATGTTTTAGTGGAGGATTACTGTTGCAGTTATCTTAAAAAATGCTAACATAAACTGTAACATTGATTGCCACTTAGAAAGTGGTTCCCCAAGACTGAATAATATGATGAGAATCCGAAGTTAAGTTTTTCAATCCATCCTCATTGTCCAGGTTTAGATAGTTTTGTACAGCTTGACACAAGCTAGGCTCATCAGGGAATGGAGAACTTCAACCTAGAAGATGTCTCCAGCAGGCTGTCCCATAAGCAAGTCTGTGGGGCATTTTCTTGACCAATGATTGATATGGAGGGCCCAGGTCACTCTGAGAAGTGGCACCCCTGAGCAGGTGGTCCTCAGTTGTATGAGAAAACAACATGAGCAAGCTATGAGGAGCAAGCCAGTAAGCAGCACTGCTCCAAGGTCTCTGCCTCATTTGCTGCCTCAGGATCAAGCCTTAAGTTCCTGCCTGGACTTTCCTCAATGGACTGTGACATGGGCTATGTAAACCCAGTAAACTCTCGCCTCTCCTGGTGGTTCTTGGTCATGATCTTCACCATAGCAATAGAAACCCAGCTAGGAAACCCATCCAACTCTGCCATTCTCTATGACAAGAACCATACCTCCCTCCCCACTCCCCAAACTCACACAAATATGTCCCCAATCTCTTCCCCTATCTTCAAATCATCCCCTTTGTATAGGGTAATGTTCTGATTATGAAAAACAGGCTGTAAAGTAAGCTTCTCTTATGGTCCGGGGACTTTTGACAAACTGGACTCACATTTCCTGACTACCTGACACTGATATTGACAGTCTTCTTCATTATGCTAGGCACAACAACCCCACAACAAGAGGACATGTGAAGTCATAAAGAACGTGGGATGTGGAGACACGCGGATGACTTAAAATGCCACCGTACTCCAGAATACTGGTTTTGCAGTTATGAAAATTAACTAAAAGGAGTGTGTGGTCAAGGAGGTTGGAGGGGGTTTTATGTTATACCACCTTACAGAAAACTTCCAGAGACTTTCAGCATATTGAAAGCTCTGGGAAACCCTGGGAGGGGAAGTCAGTATGTCCCACGTTTGATTTAAGAGTCTCCTTTTGGGGTCCCCTGGAGTAGCTGTTCATGGAACTCACTCTAGGAATACTGTACCCTTCCATCCTTAAGTCCCAACACAACTCATCTTTGAGTGATAAGTAATCTAAGCACATGATACAATCAGATGAGGTTAGGAGGGTCCTGGTCCTTATTACCCAGATGGCCCTTGATGGCCAACCACATGCCCCTCCCAAGGCAACATTCAAAGCCTATACAAAGGGAGAGAAAACAAGTGGTTTTCTAGAATTCTGTAGAAAACTACTTCTTTGCACATTCCCCGACCTACTTTCTATAAACTCCATCCACGCTTTCTCGAGTCAACTTCTTAGAACCACAAGACATAATTTTTCCCTCACTTTTTGGGTCAGAGAACTGAAACTATCTCATGGAAACTCATGGTCGCTGGAAGAAGAAAAATACAAACGCCAATGAAGTGTTCATCTGTGAAAGAGACACGGAGCTCAGGGAAGGCCTGCAGATACCTGCCATTCCATAGCACTATTAGCGATGTGTAATGATTAGCAGGTAATGGCTCTGTGCCTTTGAAGACCAAAATGATGAAGCTGTCTGTGCAGTGACAACTGGCCAATGTGAAGAGTCCTCATTTGACAACAAAACAACCCGAATCCCTTTTATGAGGTATGGAATGTGTCTTAGGTAATAAACACTTAAGTAATTAGATGGATTTTATGGAAGCAGCCATAAACTGAAACATGGGGAAAATATCTCAGCAATAGGTTGACGCCCAGGGAGGCAGGTATAAAAGAGCCAGGGCAGAAGTCGAGAGCATTCAGACATCAACTGACTTCTCCTCTCAACCCATCCACAACCCAACTCCCAAAGCCATGGCTTGCTGTGTTGCCCGCTGCTGCAGCGTCCCCACCGGCCCTGCCACCACCATCTGCTCCTCTGACAAGTCCTGCCGCTGTGGAGTCTGCCTGCCCAGCACCTGCCCACATGAGATCAGCCTCCTGCAGCCCACCTGCTGTGACCCCTGCCCCCCACCCTGCTGCCAACCCGAAGTGTACGTGCCAACCTGCTGGCTGCTCAACTCTTGCCACCCAACTCCCGGCCTGAGTGGCATCAACCTGACCACCTACGTGCAGCCTGGCTGTGAGAATCCCTGTGAGCCCTGCTGTTAACCAGTCAAGTCTTTCTCCAGGCTCAGCATCCTGTCTATCACCTACCTCTCCACAACTGCTTCTGCCTGCATCAAAGCTTAATCAACCCCAGGGCCCAGGAACAGAGGCCCAGGAACATGTTGAAGTTCTTAATGCTTTGTTCCTTTGGGCACAGATGGTCACCTTCTCTCTTTTAGGCTTGCCCCTCCTTTTTGAGAGATAACTATCTGGACTACCCATTAATAAAGTTCATTCTGGCTTAGCATTCATTGCTTCCTAGCTGTTTATTTCTGTGTTTCCTCTTTAGGAAAGTGGATGCCAAGCTCTTCCTGAAAGCAGGTTCCTATACAACCCAAGACCCATCCCAACACAGTGAATAAATCTTATACTGAAATTCATTTCAAAGTCATATGTTAGTATTTGCGATCATTTGAACAGGGAAAACTCCAGCAGGTCCTTTTGTAGGTTCTTCCCATTTTATGAATATTTTTGGAGCTATCTACTGTGCCATGTAGGTTCTAGACATGAATATAATGTTTAAATTTTTTATTCAATTCTTGTTTCTTCCTAAGAAAATGATCATTGCACTGGCATGTGGAAACAATTTCTACACCCTTACCCATAGGTAGAAAAATTGTCAGGCTCACAATTGAGGTACTTTTGAAATTCCCAACACTAAATACAAGTCAGTGCACCCACAGGGGAGCCTAGGCGAGCCGCTCCTCACAGAGGGCTTCTAGGAGCCTTCATTATGTTAGAGTGTGCTATGACTTCCCCCTAGTCAACTTGGCCGTGCCTTCCTCTTTCTAATTCATTTTCTTAAATTAGCTTCGTGGGCAGGCATTTCTGGAGAACTTGGGGAGGGTTATCCATCCCTCCCAGACTCTGGGGTCCAGGAGAAAGAGACTTTTCAAAATTCTATCTAACATACTTTGGAAATAATTTTAAAGTAAATGGTAGCTTAAATTTTTGTATTGTGCTTTAATTTTTTCCCTTTAGGGTTGGAGAATAGTAAATGTGTAAAAGCTTTAGTGTTAGAACTAACTTGCTTGGGAATGCTTAAAAGTATGCATGTGTACGTGTGTGTGTGTGCGCGTATAGCCTGTCTTGGATAAAATAGCTCAAACTATGTAAAAGTAGGAATTACACAGCATAAAACATAGAGGAATCAGAGGGCAGAGACATATAATTCAACAATACTGTGGATCAAAACACTTAACATGAAACTGTTTTTATTTCTAGTCATCTTTATTACCAAAATGTCTTATGGTTTGAGCTCCCTATGCTATAACTTACATATTTACATCAGCTGAACACTCGTTGCTCAGATATTTGTTGTAAAGGAAAACAAGTAAGAGGAGGAGGTTTGGATAAATGATATCTTCCTGAATAATAGTTTTTGTGTGGATATCAGCATGTCTTGCTTCTTGTTCCCTTAAGTGAGGTTCCCTTAAGTAAGCCTCAACTATGCTTATAAGTTGACTGGCTCAAGTGGCATATACTATCATGTCACTGAAATATTCACAATAATAATAGACCAAAGTGAAATATTCTTTATACTACAGAACTGGCAACAAAGTTCTGACAGCACAAATATATGTTCTTGGGGTAAAAAAAAAAATCTCTGTGTTGACCATTATGATATCCTTAGCTGTTATAAGCAGTCTATATACATAAGGCCTTCCCAGAAAGTATCAAGACCACTTCAATCTAATTGTACAGTTGAATATTTTGTTGCCTTGGGGACTTTGAGGAAATTCTCTCGACCACCCCCCTCCCACTCCTTCTCTCTCCATCTTTCTTCTTCCCTCTCTTTCCCTCCTTTCCTCCCTCCTCCCTATCTTGAGAGTGTAAGATAAAACAAGAGTATATAAAAAAATATAAGGAAAAACATTTCTAAAATGAGAACAAGCCATATTTTTTCAATCAGACCTCAAGGATCAATTGGCATTATCAGCACTGTCCTATAAATTGTCATACAGCTTGAGTTGAAATGGAGACTATTTGGCAAATACAGTAATTTTCTTCATGAGCTTCAACAACCCACACCAAGGCAAAACAAACAAAACAAATCTCACTTGCACTTTACTGATGAGACAATCTCCCCAGGCCCAGTCATAAGAATTTCTAATAACTATATATTCTTTAGATTTATACAGCCTGAGACATCCAGTGAGCTATAGATGACAGCAGCCAATATATGTGTTAATAAAACAGATAACTCAAAAACATGTGAGTACCCTGATACTTGTCAACTGTTATGTCTACCCACAATGACTCACAAAACCTCACTCCTGAAGCATCTAGGACAGTATTTCTCAACCTGTATGTAGGTTGCAACCCCGTGGAGAATCAAATGATGCTTTCACTGGGTCACCTATGACCATCAGAAAACACAGATATTTACATTAAAATTCATAGCAATAGCAAAATTATAGTTATGAAGTAGCAATGAAATAACTTTATGGTTGGAGATGACTACAAGTTGAGGAACTGTACTAAAGGGTGGCAGCATTAGGAAGGTTGAGAACCACTGCTCCAGGACAATAGCCTTTCTAGAACAAAAGTTTCTCAAGTTATGAGCTTGTTGCAGGTAAAGCTCTTCCCTCCCTGCCACTGCTTGGTGGTTTTGTCAGGGAACCCCAAGAACTTCTGTGGTTATAAGAACTCCGTTCAGCATAGCATTCTGGAGCCAAAGCTCCACCCCCAATCATGTTCAGATAAGGCTAATGTTATCTCTATTCCAGGCTTGGAGCTATGTGCTGCTTCTTGTTAACCCCAGCTTTCCCTCTTCAGGTTTCAGCCCTCTGACAGATGCTTAGCAAATCCTCTACATTAAAACTCTCCCTGTTGAAATACCTTGTCTGAGACTGAACCTTCACTTTCTTCCTGGGTCAACTGTGATACACAATCAGCACACAATACCTGTCAATGATGACTACTTGACATCTCTATTTCTTTGTTATTTACTCATGTGTTTCAATCTGCAGAATCCACCCCACAACGCCAGTGACTGGAGAAATCAAAATGAGTAAGACATCACTGTTTTTGAAAGATATTGTAACCTATGGAGGGAAATTGTGCATCAAAACATGCAGAAAAGCATTATGAGTAGATATGGCATTCAACAGAGCTATAAGAGTAGGGGTGTCCAACTCTGTGAGGGTCAAGGCTGAGAATAGGGGCAGGATGGCGTCAAAAGGGAGGCCATTGTTTTTCTTTCATTAAATGCACTTCTTTCTAAACACCTTGATAAAAGAACTTAATCTGACTTCTCCACTAAAGTTACCTTGTCCACATCAGCCCTCCAGCATGGTGTTTTCACTTATGGAACATTTCATCACAGCCATGGGAGCATCTGTCATTTGTTGAGTAATTTTTCATGACACACACAATGCTGGTGGTTTTGCATGAGTAATCCTCATTTAGTATTTATTTTATCATATTAATAAGACTACAATGGATAGTTACTATTTTCCCTAGACTTGCAGTTGAAACATTGAAGTCCACATAGATTAAATAACTTCATTTAGGCCTGGTAACTTAGAAGTTACAACACTGAGCTCTGAAACGCCATAGCTTGACCAAGTTCTTGATTAAATGTCTTAAGAGCCAAAATATTGCTAGTGGCTTCCATCAGATCATGTTCCCCACAGGAACTGTCTTCCATGTTCCTGCCTCCACCTGACCCTTTAGGACATACTACAAAGTCAATGAGCATCTGACTTCCAATGAATGAATTAGCTCACGAATAACCTTTGCTGTGGTCACACACTAACTTAAACCATGAAGTATTAGCACTCTAATTACAGTGGAGGGAACATGGAAATGGTGTCTGTCTGACTGACCACTGTCAGCACTGAGTGTGGCTTTGAACAAAAGAAATGACAGGTCAGCAGCTTGGTTTTGGTAAAAAGCAAAAACTCTTCATGCTGGTTTGCAAAGAAATGCATACTCTTATTTTTCAGACCATATATCATCCCAAGAACCTGCATTTTAATCTATTTCAATTTGTAGTTAAAATACCAACCCCTTGTAAAAACTAAGGGCTTGTTCATACTCATATTTACTTGTTTAGAAGATGTAGTGCTAATATATAGAAAATCATCTAGCAAGTTCTGTCATCTCCAAGCACAATCATGTTGTGTGTCTTTAATATTTATTTATTCCCTCAGATCCATGCAAATATACCACTGTGTATCTTATAGAAAAAGAAAATTCCTACAGGTTTGGGCTTCCCAAATGTATCAGGGGTACACAGTTTGAGAAGGACTCTTTCTTAGTTGTTGGGAACATCACTCTCGATACTTTACACTCGGTATAGATCACATCCTAGGGAATGAACAAGGAGAACCTCAGAATAAATCCAAGCATGCAAATGGAGAACTACACTGGTGCCATTTTGAAACTATAGCAGGAAGCAAGTTTGAATGAAGCAACACAACCAAATAAAACTTCAGAAGTGCATGTCCTGTGGCTGATACAAGAAGGTACTGCGTTATTTGTATAGGGTTGTGCAAACATCAACAAGGAAACATGCTGAAGGCAGAGGCTATGTCCCCTGAAATAGGCAGGTATAAAAGGTCCTCCCAGGGCAACTTTGTGGAAGAACGCCTTCCTCAGCAACAAAACCTGATCCACTGTCACCATGACTGGCTGCAATTCCTATCTCCAAGGATGCTGCAGTGTTCCCACTGGCCCGGCCACCACCCTCTGCTCCTCTGACATACACTGTCCGTGTGGAGTCTGCCTGCCTAGCACCTGTCCACACAAGATCAGTCTCCTTCAGCCCACCAGCTGTGTCACTTGCCCCCCACCCTGCTGTGTGCCTGATTCCTATGTGTCATCATGCTGGCTTCTCAACAAGGGCTGCCCTGTCCCAAACCTGAAAGGGATCTCTGTTTCCACCTGTGTCCAATCTTGTGAGTGTAAACCCTTCTGCTGCTAAATGAAGGCATGTAAAGAGCTTATCCACCTTGCCCTAAGGATCTGCAATGGTTGTTCCTAAGGGCCCCTTAGTAAAGGGCTTTAGTTAGGCACCCTGGAAGATGCTTTGACACTGGGACTTCATATCTGCAGGATTCTTTCTGTGTTTTGAACAAGGATTTCAGAGAAATGGGAAAATTGCAATCGTAGCTGGATCTCCTTATTTTCAATGTAAATAAACACCACTACCCCCCAACTCCTGTGCTGTCTCGGTGTTTAATGCTATAATTACACAAGGACTCTTGACACATGCGTCATAAAGCTAAAAGGTGTACAGCAAAATTACACTTTCTGATGACATCAACATAAATCTCATAGCTGAAAGGAAGTCACCCAAGGATATGTAGATAAATGAAGAACATTGCCTGAATCATAAAACACATTCACGCTAAGCTTAGAATTGGTTTCAATTTCAAGATCAGCACCTACCTTTAGTTTTTGTTTTTCCTGAATATTTAAACAACTCAAATGTGTGTCCCTAAAGACATAGACAAGCTGGTCATTAGACATTACCATACTCACATTCCAAGCATTTCTCAGATTCCTCTGATGTATGGTATCTTCTCAAGAGCTTGAAGGAGGTAAGCAAGACTAACAACACCATTCCCATCACAAGGGCCTTGCACTGGCATGAAACAGAGAAATATAAGGGAAACTGTAGTATGTGGCAGAATGAAGCAAGATCAACTTGACAGCATAGAAAAATTGTGAAAACATCTGGAAGGATTCACTTACAAAGGAGGCATGTGGACCAAAGCCTCCAGAATGAGAATGGTTTGTGATGCAGAGAACTAGGGCAGGACATTTTAAGCTAAAGCAGCAATCTGACTGAGATGACAGAAGGTACAATTTTATTTACCATAAACACAGTATTCAAACAAAAGTCAAATGGCCTGCTCCTCTGGTCTGAAATGCAGGACATTTCACGGTGGCAGCATCTAATGCTTTTCTGGTCATTCTTCTTTTAGACATGCCTTGTTGGTTGAAACAACAACTCACCAAGGAATCTGTACCCTGTGTCTAACAAAAAATCATTTTCCATCCAATAAATCATATAACTTAGATTCTACCAGCTGAGTGGTTTGGGCTAAAGAGAAATATGAAGATGTTGGAACAGTCAAATACTGCACATTAGACATGGTTGTGCCTCACCTTCAGCCTAAAGGAAGACAAATCGAGGCCAGCTAAGGTGAAGAACATTGTGGAAGGCATCTCAGAGGAATGTACTATCCAGATGAAGAACCAAGAGGGGAAAACAAACAAATATGCCAATGGTCTTTCATAACAAACACTTTTTAGTGAAGTCCTTCATTCTGTATCGCAGTACGTCAGTCGCCAACTTAAACCTGCTGCTAACTCTGTGGCCCATATGATTTCTCCTTCTGAATCCAATTTTGTCTTATTTTAAAGTGTGTGTGTCATTCATGTGAATGAATTAGGTTGGTTTGATTTTCATGATACATGATACAACACATGTGATCAAGGCGAGAAAATGAATTTTGGTTTTGGGGGGTGGGTTGTTTGGTTTTTTTGTAGGAGTAGTTTTTTTTGTTGTTGTTGTTGTTTTTATACTTTGGTTCATCTTTAAGAAAAAAATAAGCGGTGGAAAAATAAAAATGTCGCTAGGCCAAAAAGGAATCACTTACTATAGATTTATTTCAAACCATGAAAAGGAATCAAACCCCATACCATCTTGTCTGTCCCATTGCTTGCTCAGGATAGCCTAAATTTTATTACCAACTATAAAGAAAATATTTGAAGATTATATCATTAGATGAAATATTTATATTTGTAGGTAGGTAGAAAATTTAAAATTAAGAAGAGGGAAGGACGCTTTTCAACCCTAAAAGTGTACTTGAGCTGTCACTTGGTCAAATTACCTGTAACTCATACCAGTTTGGGCATGTCATAATGCTGTAAAGATAAAATGTGATGAACTTACGACAAAAATGATGGCTGCATGACTCAAAACTTAATGAATTAATAAGGGCAGGAACTCTTAATAGACAAGAAAATACCAAACTGGTTAGATAATCTTGGTAGAACAGAGTGCCATAAACAAAAACAGGCTAAGAGGGAAGCCTTCTGATTGGACTCTCTCTCACTGGGGAGGGTATAAAAGAGTCCAGACTGAGAGGAGACATTTGAACCTCGGACACTTCGTCTTTGCATTGGACCAAAGCCAACCAGACTCCACCACCATGGCTTGCTGTGTTGCCCGCTGCTGCAGCGTCCCCACCGGCCCTGCCACCACCATCTGCTCCTCTGACAAGTCCTGCCGCTGTGGAGTCTGCCTGCCCAGCACCTGCCCACATACCATTTGGCAACTGGAGCCCACCTGCTGTGACAACTGTCCCCCACCCTGCCACATCCCTCAGCCCTGTGTGCCCACCTGCTTCCTGCTCAACTCCTGCCACCCAACTCCAGACCTGCTGACTGTCAACCTCACCACCTATGTGCAGCCTGGCTGTGAGGAGCCCTGCGTCCCAAGGTGCTGCTGACCTGTGGCTTTCTTATTCAGAGACTGATAATGAAGACCCCAGGAGCCACCTAACCACTGTCCTCTTGTCTTAGTAGTTGTCCCAATGTTAAAGTAGACAGATGGTCCAGGCTATGAAAACCCTACCTTTAATTTTAATGGCAAGAAAGCCAAGAAATTTGCAAATTGGATGAATAGTCATTTGATTCATTTGAACAGGTAAATGTCTTCCCTTATGAAAATGCTATGGAAATCTTTAAGATTTCAAATTATGGGGTTTGGGCTCATGTTATTTCTAGGATCTTATTTCCTGTATTGGGTATTTTCAGAGGCAAAATAATCTCCAGATGGGTTTTCTAATAAACTGTATGTCCCTGGCCATATGTGTTCTTTATTTATGTTAGTGCTTGAAATTCGTTTCTTGCATTTCAAAATAGAGTATCTATTTTTTTTAAATTGTAGAATGTTCCAGATGAAGGCAGCATTGGAGCTAGCATGCTGGCATGCTGCCCTAATTTTGTGTCTGTATTTAATGTTCATCTTCTCTCCTTTCCCTCAAACTCACAGAATCCTCAAAACAATACAACACTACATAATATATGAACAAAGTTGCTTAAGTTAGTAAGAGTTCTCAAAATTATAGAGTTAGTTACTAAGGTGACCAGAATTTAACCCCTGATACATCTGACTCTAAAACCTAATTCTCAATACAAACACCTACAACACAGATTGAAAACATGCATGAAAAATGTAAAAGATGTAAGATTCTTCAATGAAATTGCACATCCAATTTTGACAGAAAGCAGGTAAGTTGGCTCTTATCAAAATTGGCAGGTATTCAGCTGTAAGATCTGGGTCATTTCCATTTCATTTCCACTCACAGAGCTCTAAGTGGTCAGCTCTAGTTATTAGGACATTAGCACAGGCAGTACAGAAGTACAGAAGTTCTAGTCCAGCAGTCAATACAATGCCTGCTGCTGTTGGGTGACAGGTGAAGAGCTAGAGCTGAAACACCCATCAAAGCAGAGGACAGCTGTGCCTGTACCTCATGAGGCTGAGACAGGAGGACAGAGAGTTCAAGACTGAGCAACACAGGGAGATCCTGGCTAAAAAGACAAAGAAAAAAGAAATGGACTAATGAAATCCATTAGCTAATTTTATGAATATACATAAATTTATACCACAGAGACTATCCTTTTCTGAGCGTACGAAGAATCTGTATGTGTGTGTGTGTGTGTGTGTGTGTGTGTGTATTATATATACATTGCATGTGTAAGTTTATACTATATAATAATACACCAACAAACAACACATGTAGAAATACACAAGTTGAAATCTGGAAAAGCCCTGAGATAAATATGAAATAATGCTGGTGTCTTAAAAAAAAAAAAAAAAAAAAAAAAAAAAAAGGAGTAGGGTAAGAAAACAGAGAAGTAAATTCTAAAGGAATCTGTTTTAAAGTATCTTCAGAGACCCATGAGTGTTGCTAGAGAGGGTTATCCCCTTAGGCTCTGAAACTGCCACTTAATCAAGAGTCACGTGCATGAGGCTTCCATTTTACAGAAATGGTAACTGTCGCCACTGGATTCTATATTTGCTGAGCCTTTAGCAAGTAAATCATCAGATCATCTAAGGACTATTATGTCACCTTTTTGGGTCTCACTACCTCACTTATAAGAAAAAAAGAGTAATTTCCAGGTCTCTTAGGCCACTGAGGAGGAAATACATCCTCAAAGTACTGCATGTCTTATCATTAAAAAAGATTGCCATCATATGTTTGTTATTTAATGACTATTTGCATCTATTAAAGTAACCTTAGATCTCATTTATAACTAGAGAAGCATGGTATTCTACATACACAATAATAAGTCTTTTTATTGTCAATACAAAACAATAAATAGTGCACCTTGAGTGGATTAGCATCTTTTGGCCTTAGTCGTGCAAATCTGATGATCTGCACACCTCTTTTTCTTTATAATGTCTCCAGAAACTATCAAAATAACAACCTTCCCTTTTTTTATTTTGCTCTTGGAAATTAATCTTTCCTTCCCTATTATGACACACCTTTCCAACAGACTATAAATTCCACAAGGACAGAGACCAAATTTATTTTGTTCACTCCAACATTTATCACAGCACCTGCCATTATTCCTCAATAAATGACTACATCATTAATTTTTTTATAATGACTAAGATAGGGCTGAGAAGATAAGGCAGTCAGTAAAATACTTGCCTTGCAAATGCAAGGACTCAAGTCTGATTGCTAGAATCCACATTAACAAAAAAAAAAAAAAAATAGAAATAAAGCCAGGCATAGTGGCCCACGCCTTTCATCCCAGCATTTGGGAGGCAGAGGCAGATGAATATCTATGAGTTTGAGGCCAGCCTGCTCTACAGGCAGAGTTCCAGAACAGTGATGACTAAACAGAGAAACCTTGTGACAAAATAAATGCAAACAAAATTAAAAATTAAAGATAAAAATAATACAGAGAAGGTAAAAGTAAGGGAGGGAGGGAGAGAGGGAGAAAGGGAGACAGGAAAGGAGGGAGAGGGAACTGGGATCGACATGTAAAATAATAAATAATAATAATAAAACATCAGAGTAATTAAAAATAATAATAATAATAATAATAAATTTTTTAAACAGGCTTTGTGGCACATGCTTGTAACCCCAGTGTTGACAGGTGGAAATGGGAGGATTCCTGGGGCTCACAAACCAGTCAAATCTCCTACTTGAGCATCTCCAAGCCAGTAGAGACCCTGCCTCAAAAAGACAAGGTGTAGATCTGGAGAGATGGCTCAGAAGTTAAGAGCACTTGCTAGTCTTGCAAAGAACCTGGGTCCAGTTGCCAGCACCCACATGACCAGCTGTGCTCCCAGTCCAGAGGGTGTGGTGCACTCTTCTAGGCTCCATGGGCACCAGACATGTACATGGTGCACATGCATACATATGAGCAAAACATGCATATACATTAAATAAAAATAATAAATCCTTTTTAAAGGGAAGAATGGGTGAATAGTATCTAAGGAACAACAAGGCAGTTTGTCCTCTGGCCTCCACACACATGTGTACACATGAACCCAAATACAAGCAAACACACACACACACACAAAATCCATTTTCCCTAAGCAATATGGTGTATAATTTATTTGGCAGCTATTTGATCAGTGAGAAATCACAGGAGTGTTCTACAGCACCAGAGACAGTCAAATCCTCTCTTTTAAAGAAAACCATGGAGATTTTTTTTTAATTTCTTTAACTTAGTGTATATGCCAACTAGTTTCTCTACTTGCAGATGTTAACATTTCATTTGTTTACTTCCTTAACTGGCACGGACTTTTGATATCAGTGTCCGCTGTCTCATCTACGGTTTCTCTTACTTGCTTCCCCCTTCTTCCTCCTCTTTCTTGTGACTATGTCTCCTCTATTTTACTTTGCATTAAGTTTGATCTTCAAGTTGGCTCAATGGTCATAATACTCACCTTTGCATAGCTTGGACTTTCATCTCTTTTCACAGTGGTCTTTTAGGTGAAAGAATGTACATATTACTGCCCTCGCTCTGCAGAGAAGAATGGCAAGACTCCAAAAAGTGAACTGCCTGTAAAAACAAGGGACATAACCAGTACTCCTAGGAGCAATGAAGAGCTCCTTTTGGCTCTGAGTGTGGTCCTCTCTTCCCCAAACATCTGGACACACCCATCATACACTGATGGACAGGTAGCCTTAGAGGAAGAGGTGAGAAGAATGTGTGAACCAAGGCTTAAAGGATGGATGAGTCCAATCTGAGCAGAAATGTTCTAAGCCATAGAGATAATGCTGTCCAGGAAAGCACCCAGGACTTGCTCTTAATGAAGAGTCCCTGAGTCTCAATGGTGCCCTGAAAGTAGACTTGGGTCTTTCAACACATCAGGGAACAAAAGCTCAAATCAATCGGCTCCAGGTTCATGTGTTCACTTTCTCTTGTGATTGGTTTTACTGGAATTCTAGCATTGTGGTCTAAAGTTATTTTTTGGTTTAGTATTTCATTTTCATTCTATGTAAATGTGAAAAACTCAACGGTTCCACATTTAACAGCCAAGGGGGACAAAGCAACAGCAAGCGAAATTCTTGATAGGAGGCAAATTCCTGGAACATGTATGAAGGGAGGATGTGTCAACCTAACTTGATATTTACAAAATATACAGAGAACCAGGATTCTCAGCTAAACACAGTATTGGGGGGCAGGAGTGTAGTGAATATCAAAGGCTTTGAAAATACTAGACTTCCACATTGTCCCTACAACTCTATCTGGTAATTGTTTCTGCTTCAGAATAATCAGATCAAGCACAAAAATTCATATAGTTTCTCTATTGCCACAGCTATCAAAGAAAAAAATGAGATAAAGCAAATGATAAAGAAAATGAAATCTTAAAGTAACCCAGAAGTATCACTACACGATAAATACTAGAGAACACTAAGAATATCATTATTAAGTATACTTAGGAATGCAAGATACTGAAAGAACCTACATAAAATGATTCTAGAAATGTAAAAATAAATAATAACATATAGTCAAGATTAGTTCTATCATACATATTAATAGGTAATGTTTCCAGATGGCTCCACTATAGGTTTTCAACACTTTGGAAATTATGATTATGTAACATTTCATATTGAAATAATAAGTGTTTTAAACTTTTGCCATACTTCTCATAAAACGGTTTTCCCACTTTAGCTTCGAGCTTCAAGTGCCTCAAAGCTCACAGGCAGTAACTAAAATAAAGTTTCCATCCAGCTCTTTCAATAGAAACAGCTCATCAAGCCATCTGATAGAGAAAGGGGCAAAGAGAAAAAAAAGGGGGTGAACAGAAGCAGCGTGGGGAGCAGCATTCTGCACATTACTGTCATGCCCATGTGGTCCCTGGCTAGCCTGGTGGTGACACTGTAATAGTAGGAGACTTTCGTGGCACATCATAAAGCTTGTGTCCTTGTGATAAATAGCAAGAGTAATCAGTTAAAATTTGGCACCGAATTCAAATAAAAGGTAATTAGCAAAATAAGGACTCTTTACAGGCATCTAAATGTCAGGCCAATTAAAGGATAATGGGAACACGAACATAAACAAGAACCAGGAAAGAAGCCCATTGGTGGGACCAACGCCCACTGGGGAGGGTATATAATAACCCCGGAGCAAGAGGAGACATTTGAACCCCGGACACTTCGTCTTTGCATTGGACCAAAGCCAACCAGACTCCACCACCATGGCTTGCTGTGTTGTCCGCTGCTGCAGCGTCCCCACCGGCCCTGCCACCACCATCTGCTCCTCTGACAAGTCCTGCCGCTGTGGAGTCTGCCTGCCCAGCACCTGCCCACATACCATTTGGCAATTGGAGCCCACC